TGAAGTTTCAAACATAACACTTAAGCATCTTTCAATCCATCTGTTGCCGAAGGTCGATTGCCAAAGACTGGAAGAATGCTATGGTAGGTCCCGTCTACAAAACTGATGCACACTGCCGCGTGATAGTTACCAAAGGATTTGAACCCTATGGTCAATACGTAAGGCCTTAAGGCATGTCTACGACAAAACTGTTTGACTTTGTATACGTCATTCGTGCGTCCTAGACCAGATTACTGCATAAAAGTGGCTAGACCCTGCTTAAAAAACAGTGAGCTTTTGGAGATGGTTCAAAGGACCTCAAATAAGCTGATTACCGAAATAACGAGGCTTTCGTATGATTCTCGACCGACCAAGCTAAATTGATTCCCGTTGTCATACTGAAGAACCAGAATGACCTTGATTAGAGTTTTCAAGTTATTAAGTGGCAAATTTTCATCTGATGCGCCCTAAATTTTCTTGTTTTCCACAACAGAGGATTTACAAGGACACATCAAAATGTTCGCAGACCCAGAACTGTTTGTGTTTCTGAAATTCAGCTGACTAATTTTCTCGAAAGAATCCCTAATGGAGAGTTCCATTATGTTCCATATGTTCCTCAACTGTAGGAATGCGGCCCTCGTTTTACAAATCATACGCATCTAATTTAATTTGTGATCAATATTAAGGATTTTATATCATTTGATTATAGGCAGTTAACTGGAATCCTTGAATCTTTGTTTTGCCCTAGCATGCTGACCACGTAAGTGGAGGATTCCATCTGTTTCAGAGTTTCTCCACCAAGTGCGATCGGACTGGTGTTCCCTGTGTTGAATCTGAGGATCTTGGTTTTCCCCTTGTGTATGATGAATTCTACTGATACAGAACTGCTGCTACACTAGCTGTCTTCACCTGCACTTGTTGATTTGTATGGGATGGAAGGGCCAGATCATCTACGAAGTCCAGATCTAATTGATTCCGAGCAGTCCATTGTATTCCGTGCCTTCAAAATCCAGTCAACCAAAAGAAGAAAGAGGAAGGGGACGAGTAAGAAGCCTTGTGTGAATCCGGTGCTTACATGAAATGCCTCTGTCATCTGTCCTTCATTCATGACTTCGCAGTGAAGTCCATCGTATGAATTTCGTATGACGTTGACGATTTTCTCAGTTACTCACAACAGTGTCGAAGAGGTTTACAGGGTGTTCTTCTATCCACAGAATCAAAGGCTTTCTCATAATCACAGAAAATGGAGCATAGTGACGAGTTGCATTGTCTAACGATGATTCTTTGTGTCACGATTTGGTGTGTGCACGACCAGTCGTTATAGAGTCCCGTCTGTTGACCTGGAGACTAGACGTCTACGTCTTTCCTGTAACTGACAATGGTTTGATGCCTCTGTAGTCCTCGTTGTTTATTTCTTTCAGTGAATCAGTTAGTTGTTTTTCGATCTTGTCTGCTATGTCGTTTTTCACAGCCAGTTTCTGAAATTTGCTTTTATCATTTAGAAGGGCTTTCATTTTGTTTATGTAGTCATTTTTATCCGAAATGTTGAAACCTACAGGAACAATTACACCAAGACTATATGGCCTACCGAAAATACACAAAAGTGGCTTGCCCCTTAGACCAGTATTAGATGTGAATAACTCAGCGTATCATAATTTAGCAAATGGTTGGTGCAAATTCTTCAACCATTACACAAAGAAATTGTCAGACATAGTGTCAAAGACTTGTAGTGGCATGGAACAATAACCGCACAATCCACAAAGCTAAACACGAGACTACTCAAAAAATAGATATTCAATATTTAACGCGGATAAATACCTAACGATGGAGAAGGCGCGAGAATGAATTGAATGGACTGGAGTTGATCGGATGGCATGGCTCGGCCATGCAGGCGTGGTCCATCTGAATGTTATCTTATATCTTCTATTCGTATTAAATGTATTGTTCCTTCTCTAGCTTAACGTTGTTCTACATCATGTACTGGTAATTGATACGATACAGTGAGTTGGTGTAGTCGATGGTGTGACTTCCACGTAAGATCTTATAGATTAGGCAGTTATATCATGACAAATCTACAAATTTAGGATTAGGTCTATTATTAGAGCAGCACTAATATCATACTAGACCATAATTCTACAGACTCCTTTGAATTTGTGGAGAACATAAAAAATCTATCAGTCAAAAATAAATTCATGATATCACTTGACGTATCATCATTATTCACTAATATTCCACTACTCGAAACGGTTGAATATATTTGCAATGAACTAACGGCGAGACGCATAGAAACCCCGATTCCCGCATGCGCGATAAAACAGTTAATTCTTAGATGCACTATGAACGTCCAATTCAGATTTGACAATGAATACTATAGACAAGTAGATGGAGTCGCCATGGGATCACCATTGGGCCCTCTACTGGCTAATATTTTCCTTGCAAAACTGGAAAATGGACCACTTAAAAGTACAATTACCCATTTACCAACTTATTATCGCTATATAGATGATACCTTCATAGTATTAGAAAAAGAAAATGATAAGCACAATTTACTTAATATATTTAATAACGTTCACCCATCAATTAACTTCACATCAGAAGATGAACAAAATAATAGCATATCTTTTCTAGATGTCCAACTAACTAGAAGAACAGATGGAACTATAAAAAGAAGAGTACACAGAAAGTCAGCAGCTGGTCAATACACTCATTTCCACAGTGCAGTTCCAATCAGATACAAAAGGAACTTAATAAAGATCTTGACACATCGTGCTAGAATGATCTGTTCTGAAGACACTATTGAAGATGAATTGAACAATATTTGGAACCTACTCAGTCTGAATGGGTACCCAATGAAATTCATCGAAAAACATATAACGGAGAAGAAAACAAGGACAAAAATACCCACTGTCCCCAAGAAGGTATTATTCATAAAACTACAATTCATAAATGACACCATTGAAGAAGTCATGACTCAGAAACTAAGAAGAGCGGTACAAAAAACATTTAATGCTGCCAAATTAAATGTCATCTTCTACAACCACCCGAAAATAAGAACATCCATTAAGGACAGACTGCCAGAATTCGCCAAATCTATGTGTATCTATCGTTTCAACTGCTCCTGTGGAGCCAGTTACATAGGGCGTACAATTCGACAGGTCCGTCACCGCATTACAGAACATCATCCAACATGGCTAAGCAAAGGACAGGTGAAAGTAATTAAAAGTTCTATTCTCTCTCACTTGGTTGACACAGGTCATCAAGTCGAAGTGAATAAAGCTTTTAAGGTTATCTACAATATTCCATCAAATCTACCACATGGTTTACGAGTGCGCCTTTTGCACATTGCGGAAGCCATCGCGACCCATGTTCACAAACCTGACCTTTGCATCCAAAAGAAATTCGTACAACCACTTTCTCTACCCTGGCCTTCAGTATAACATTTCCGTCAGAAGAACTATTTTTCATGCTTCTTCCATTTTTATTTTAATTTTAAAATTTTTGTAATTTTGTTTCTATCGCTTTTGAGCCTTATAACTTCTCAACATTCATCTCTTGATTCTTACGTAACTACTATCCTATTGACCATCCGGTAAAATTCTATTCCCTCTTTGTTTCTTATATTACGCAACATAGCAACTTCTTGATTACTTTGAATATTAATAATCCTCTCTCTTCCAATTACTGAATGTTAATTTAAATGTCATTATGTAATTATTACGTAACGTATCCACTCGATGAGTATTATATTATTATTGTAAAACGTATATATATTAGTGTAGAGCCATGATGAAAAACTAATTGAAAAGAAATTTCTTCGCTCAATTCGTTTCTTCTTTATTTACCAAATGGCAAAATGGGAATTTTCACTATATTGAAATCCTTATTTTATAGATCATAATACTTCCTCACAGGCAATACTGAAATCATCGTGGGTTTATGTGAAATGGGGAATAAAATTAAACACAACCATCTACTCATGGTAAATATTACTAAGGATAACTTAATTTTATGATAACAGTAGATTTATTCCTCTTTTCAAAGCACTACTTTGGCCATATCAAATCGTAACAATAAATATTTTGTCTTTTGTCACGGCTATTATTATTCAAAATGGGAAGGACTTTTCTTAATAACAGGCAATCACAAAATAGATATACGGTCGTTAGTCATTAGTTCCAGTTTTATACACTCCTTCATATAGACAAAAGGAACAACTTCAGGAAATTAAAAATAAAAACGAGCCCGAGATTTAAACAAAAGCTTAATCCACGTACCTGCACCAATACCCAGAAGAGTTCCAACTACATGCCATAATTATCTCGTGAACTTTACTTAACGACTCCGCACATCCCGACTACGTTAGGATCTAAAGTCATAACCTCATAGACTGATATTATTTCATGGGCTGTTTGCTCCTACATGGTTCCGGTTTACGTGAGCAATGATTCTAAGACATGTATGACCAAATAATTACAACCTACACAAGTTTTATAACTTCGAAGTAACAAAAGGTAGACGTGTGTGGTGTTCAATGCCCACTACTTGCTTACTCTCTTCTGTTTGACTGGGAAATGATACCGTATAATCCAGATGCGACCCTAATTTTTGGAAGGGGAGGATCGCAACCTACAAACTCCTGTACTGTCACACAGTGCTTTGTTCAGATTATATTTCGTCAGTTTTTACCAGGCAAGGAGACGTCTTCATACAAGGTTCTAGGTAAGAGAGCGATCAGGAGAAGAAATTGTTATCCCCAAGAGTATAACCATGACAAACGGATGAAAACAAGGAAAGTAGGCATTTTGCAGTATGGTATGGTATATGGAGAAACAACCACTTGATGCGATAAGTTAAGTACTAAACTAAATCATGACCAGAAATATCATACCTGTACGGTATTAGCAGCACCCAATGCTAATAAACCTTTCTGACTGAAATTAATTGTTGAAGCAGACATAGGTAGCAAGATTTCGGAAAGAGGATCATAAGTGGATCTCAAGTCCCAAATCTTTAGTTTTCGGTCAACTCCACAGGTTGCCAAGTAGCTGGAAAGATGGATATGAAGAAAGAATAAGCTATGAGCAAATACATCGTTCAAATAGTGAGAAAAATTTAGTTTAGAGGAACACCGGTTGTTGAAATACTTTGTAGAAAAACGGTAATTCATAACCAGTCAATTTTAAACTACACGAAAGTGATTTGGCTAAGGCTAAGCGAGTGGTTTCACCAATCTAACTTTTAATCAAAGACTGTTCAAACAAAGCTTGAATAACAAACGTAGGATTCATAGCGGTTTCTAGATCAGCATAAAAATAAAAAACGCACTACGGATCTCCATAGCTGAGATAAATAGTATTATTCTATTGAATTCCTCTACTACTGGCACTAACGATGGTAAATTAGAAAGATAAGCTTGATACGTAAACGCTAATGGGGGTGGTATGCCGTTCGGAATAAAATCAACCGATCTTTGCAACACAAGTGTTTTAAATTTTACCTTCAGAAAAGGTAACTCTGCTACACATTACAACATACATAGCTTTTGACAATAACCGCAATGTATAAGGATAATTACTACAATAAGTTAGGTAACCAAAACTTGATCTTCATCAAAAGCGGTACCCATAAAACACCCTGTGTTTTGGACTGATCAGGTGTTAAGACTGAGATCGTCTAAATTCATCCACAAAACAATCAACCAAACCTAAAAGACAGATGCCAATATTATGCTTTACTGTTGAAAACTTGATCGTTTATTAAGATTATGTGGTATTTGTACGAACTAACGATTCCTTTGTACTTGACGGCCAGCTGATTACGAATTCCAAATATAATACGTTCTTTGTGCTCATCTATTCCTACTTGCTGTAAATTGCAGTAAGGTGTTTCCCTTGGGCAACCAGCATCTGCAGCGATGCTGCTTTCTCACAAGGAAGGAAGGGGTTAGAAAAGGTCGACTCTAAATATGTCACACATCACCTTACTTCATGGATTTCCGTCTCCGCTGGTAAGGCCTTTTGAGGAATAGAGCTAACACGCTAAAAGGCCGTGAGTGACCGGCCTCAAGCAGTTGTCCCTTGGGTTCTGTGGTCACGCTCCCAGGTCGTTAAGACCAACACTAATCCAACTTCCCTTTAAGGTGGTTCCTTAAGAAGTACCCTTCTACGGTGTGGGCAGCCGGGAAGTGACATGAGCCCTCATATCCCTAACAGCAGACGAGGCCAAGTTGGTCACAGTCAAATCCTTCCTACGCCTCGTAATAACTCTATCATTTCCACCGCTAACCCTTCTCACGTTACTTTATCATCCCGCACCGCTAGTGAAAACTATTCGAGTACGCGGAACGTTATTCCTGGTCTTCTGAAACTACGTTCTAAACTACATGTAGGAGATTTTAAAGTCCGAACACTGTGCCAAATAGGACAACAGGCTTCCTTAGCTAGGATCTTTAAATCTCGCGCCATCGATGTGCACTGCCTGAAAGATTTCTTCTGATTGTACCTTTTCGTTCCGTCGTTACTACCACACCTTACTCCAATCTCTTCGTCATTGTTCTCTTTTTCTTTTGCGTTCCCTAGTTTTTTTTTCTTTCTATTTCTCTTCGAATTTTCATTGTTTTGTGTGGCGCATATATATTGGCGCTCTCTTGTACCAATATTTATGTGTTCAAATAAAAATAAAAATAAACTGCGTCTCCGTAACGCTTATACAGAATCAGAGTAGCGTCGTTCATTTGACCTCACCATATCAAAATAAAGAATCATCTCGATTCACACTTCGTGTATCTCGAAGCCCCGATGGTGCTTCCCGTGGCCTCGCTGGCGTAGGTATAGCATTGAGTCCTAGGGTAGAACTAGCTCTCTTAGACTGGATCTCAGTAGACAGTCGTTTATGCACTGTCCAACTAAACGGAACAATTAGGACTCGGAAAAGTAGGGACACTCGTTGTCTCTGCCCACTCTCCCACTGACTGCAGCTCAGATGATGTAAAAGATGAGCTGTACAGAGAGCTTTCCGACCTCCAAAACGTTAGGCGCTCCGATGCAGTAATAGTGGCCAGTGACTTTAATGCTCAAGTAGGTAAACTAAGCGAAAAGGAAAGACACCTGGATGAACCTTATGGTGTCGTGACTCAAAGAACAGATAATGGCGACCGTCTGTTGCAGCTATGCTCAGATAACCGCCTGTTTCTTGCAAATACTAGCTATTAGCAAAAGGAAAAACACTTTTTGGCATGGCGACCCCTGATCACATCGCTATCAGACACCGATGGAGGAGCTCGATAGAAGACTGTCGGTCGTTCTGGAACACATGCTTACATTCAGATCATGTTCTAGTGCAAGCGCGTATTTGTCTGCGTCTTACTGAACGTAGGAAAGACACTGCAAGGAAACCTCTTACGGTCCTACTTAATGATAGCCAAGCTAGGAATATATTTCAGGAACGACTAGAAAAAGTTAGGCAGCCATGTAAGTGATGCCCATCCCGAGGCAGCGTGGAATGATATCCGGAAAGCTGTGGGAACAACAGTGATATCTGCTAGTAAGGTAAACCATAAGGTTAAGGAGAAACACGGGATCTCAGCAGCATCCACCGCACTGATAGATGCTCAAAAACTCGTCCCATCTGGCTCTGAACATGACGAAGAGCGGAGTCAGCTTAAGCGCAGGCTGGCAAGAAGCCTACGCAATGATCGCGAACAGTGGTGGGCAATAGACAACGGCAGACAACTATTCAGACTTTTCAAGGAAACCGGTGTTAAGAATTCAACTGTTAGCGAAACCATCTTGGAAAAAGATGGACATATTATACATTCTCAATCAGGGAGATTGGATCGATGGGCAGAACACTTTAGGGATCAGTTCAACTGGCCTTCAGCCACATTTCAGTTTCCCAAGATCTCCAGTCGACCTGAATGGCGAGTTCTCCAACTCTTTACGAAGTTTAAAAAGCTGTAGGAAATCTGAAGCGTGGGAGAGCAGCAGGCCCTGTCAGGTTTACCCCTAAGATTTATAAGGATGGAGATCCAGTATTGGCAGTGAGATTGACTGAACACATAAATATTGGTACAAAGAGGCACCATATATATATATATATATATATATATATATATATATATATTGCGCCACATAATAATAAGAATGAGAATGTGAAGATATAACGAATGTAAGGTGCGCATAAGAAAAAGGGGAACAATAACGAAGAGGAATTAGTGCATGAGATTGAAATAATAATAATAATAATGTGAGAGACAGTTCAATCAGTAAAAGTACAGTCACAGAGAATTCTGCCACTTAAAGAAGTTACGCATTTTTTTATGAAGGAAGTAAATAAAGTTACAGCATGATCTCTACTGGCTTCCATCCTGAGCCATATTTGATAACGCCTCTAGCCACTGTGTTGCACCATCTTTAAGTCCCCACCAGGGGGTCGTGAAGGACCGATAGAAGCCAGTCCTGTACCGTTTTCTTTCATACCGCGACAACATACACTGACCACCTCTCCGCTCTTTCCAACCAGTCCCAGCGTCGGCAAATTATGCACGACGTGGAATTCTCTGGGACGACATTCGTAGAACATGTTCAAGTCACCGCAGTCGATGTTTCAAGATGGTGACACTAATTGCATTATCGTCTCTGTCCCCGAACACACGATGCCGAACCTCTGCATTACTAACATGGTGCTACCACTGGATGTCAGCAATCCTTCGGAGACAATGATGATTAAACACAGAGTCGTCTAACATCCTCAACTCGGAGAGGCCAGGTTTCACAAGCATAGAGCAAAACTGCTCTCACCGACGCGTTGTTGATCCGACCTTCTATAGCCAAACTAGCATCACGAGGGCGCCGAAGATGGCCCAGATTGACATAAGCCGCTCTGGCTTTAATTATACGTGCATTGATCTCATCACTCATGCCACCATCAGCACTTATGCAGCTACCCAAATACACAAACTTCTCGACTACTTCTATATGCTCACTACCCAGAGTGAGTGCAGTATCAGGGTCCTACCAGTCTTGTAAAAGTACTTTCCACTTAGAAGGTGCAAAGCACATACCATACCTACGGACAATAACATCCGCATACTCAAGGTCGAGGAGTCTTTCTCCAGGCAACAGATCCACACAACCATTACTTGCATCCATCAAAGCTGTTCCCAGAACGTCGTCGATAGCAAAGTTGAGGATGAATGGTGAGATTGGCCAACCCTGCCTAGCCCCATTGATTGAATGGAACAATGGAGAGAGGTGGTTATGTGCCTTTACTCTGCCTGAGGTGTCTGTATATAGGGCTTTTAAGATGTTAATAAACTTCTCAGACACACCCTTCTTCAATAGACAATCCCAGAGAACAATCCGGTCCAAAGAATTGAAGGAAAACCTTATGTCAAGAAACATTACGACTGTTGGCCTGTGATAAGTATGATGGTGTTCTAACATTTGGTGGAGGGTGAATATATGATCAAAACATCCTCGACCAGAACGAAAACCAGCCTGCTTCTTGCTAGTCAATCTTTCTCGGATTTTGAACAATCTACCAAGAATGACGGAAGCCAAAAGTTTGGACGCAATCGGAAGTAGACTCATTCCCCGATAGTTCTTGCATAGATGATGTGAACCTTTTTTAAAGATAAGGACGATTATCGACTCATTCCATGACGTTGGTACATTGTCTAACTGCCGAACCTTTGTGAAAAACTCAGACAGTTCCTTAACTAGAAAGTCACCATCATCTTTAAAAAGGGCCGGAGGTAAGTCATCTGGATCCAGTGATTTGTAGCGCTTCAAGAGTTGGAGTTCTTTGCGAACTTCCGCCTCATTTGATGGATCAGTCGTCACGGACCATGGAGGGCAGGACAGTGTGATCGATGTTACTGGGGCAGCAGACTAGTTGAACTGCTCCTCGAAAAACTCTGCCCATCGTCCAAGACGTCATTTGATGTTATGTTAGTGACCGGCATCCCGTCATCTTCACAGATTGTTTCGCTTACACCAGACTTCGTGCTGCCAGTGGCTCGGATGAGTTGAAAGAGCTTCCGGCAGTTACCAGGTGCGGTTTCTGCTTCCAACTCATTAGTGCGTTCCGACCACCAGGCTTCTCGGTCCTTACGCAAGCTTTGCCTAATCTCATTACGTAACAGTTGTCGTTTATGGTCAAACCCACGGTCACCCGGAGTAGATCGACGGGTTTCAATAAGTTGTAAGGAGCCATAAGAAACCCAGTGCTCATAAGCAAGACGTTTCGCGAAGCCGCATGCGACTTTACTCGCCATTTTCATGGCATCGTGCAATTGCAACCAATGCTCATCTATACTTTTTTCAGTGGGATTTTAGCTAGTCTTGAACCTGACTCGGTTTGATATTTAGTTGTAACAGAAGCTGCAACCAAGTTACATCAATCAGTTTAGAACGATGAATTTGTTGGCCACTGAAAAGTAAGGTAAGATTGGCGCAAACAGGTGCATGATCAGGGTCCAAATAGGTACTGCAAAAGGAGCGGCAGTCTTGTACACAACCACGCCAGCGGTAGCTGATCGCGATATGATCAATCTGAGTCCAGGCCTGAGATGCAGAGAGAGGGTTCCAGATGGCACATCAATGATGACTGTGCGGTAGTTAGTGCTAGACGGAAACAGGTCGTGGTCTGCGCACAGTTGCAGTAGACGGTCTCCGTTATCTGACCTGCAACCAACAGGTCCCCGTCGGCCACTTAAACGATTTTCTTCGGTGCCTAGATGCCTGACCTGAGCATTCAAGTATCCGGCTAGTAATACAATATCTGTCGAATGCACTTTCTGTAGTAGAACTAGAAATCGGACATTCGCTTTTCATCCTCTCGATTTCGTAAGCAACAGTAATGCTGCGAGAAGGCAGTCAGTTGGACTTCCCTGGCAGTAGTTGTATGCAAGTGACCATGTGAGAGCATTTCGAGAGGGAGAGCTGCTTCTTTCTACTCTCGGCCGTACCAGAGCATTTGAAGGAACAGTTCGACACTCAAATTCTGGGACTTTCGAAAATTACATGGAAAGGTATGAAATCTGGACTATGATCAGAAACGGTGCTAAGAATGATGAAGTAGCAGCTCATTTCCCTACATTCATCGGGAAGGATGCCTGCAGCTTACTAAAACTTTTGGCATTCTCAGACAAGTTTATTTCACTTCCCTACGCAACTCTCAAAGGGCTACTACTAAACCATGCAAATTGTACAAATTCCGAGTGTTATGAAGGCAAAATTTAATAAGATGATTCGACAGGACAACCAAAAAATTAGAGGATTTATCCTTGAATTGAAAAAAACAGGCTGTTGTAAATTGCACTATTTCGGAAATTCCTAGTTAGCACATTAGGTCTAATACTCCTAATTATTATAGCTTACTTTGACTCACATAACGCATCACTTTATACCTACTATCACGACTCAATACAAGATATACCAAGATTAGAAGCTGCTCTAATACCAGCAATTATAATTATCAAGCGAACGAAACGTAATCAGCTTTGAGTGAACTGAGAAATAATGTCCAGTCATATATATATGAGGAAAGATTCAATTGGGTATGGATTCGAAATCTATCAAAAGTTGTGAATTTATCATAAAAGCTAACCTTCCAGTTTGGTCGCAAGCAATCGAAGTAATGGCAGTTGGGTGTGCGAACATTTTGATAACGTATGACTTCTCTGAAGGTATCCACATAGACACAACACCATCGTTGTGTCCTGTGCAAATAACTCCGTTAGAAGGGTTTTGACACATAACACCAAGGCGCCCCATATATGTAGGTATTGAAGTGACAATCGTACCAATAGAACAGTCTAGGTAATAAAGAAATCCATTGTCGGCCTGAAATAAAAGCTCCAGTGCAAAAACCTACGGAAGATACCAGAAGGAAATGATACGGGAGAAATTCCATTCGTAATATCCCATTCAGTTTTCTCAAGCAATGTACTTCTAAGCCTTGATTGTCATATATGGAAACATATCTTTTCTCTGCAACGGCAACGAACGTTTCTTGGTGAAGAAACCTAAAAGATTATCAATTAAGTTTTTTACTTAACATCCTTGCATTCGTTGGAGACAGTGATCTCAAAAAGAGGCTTCTTCACCATCCAGTCGAATGCCGCTATGTGACCTGATTTACCACACAGGGCTAAAAATCTGTCTTTTTTACAAGCGTTTGGCAGCCAATTTACCTGCCGTTTCGTGAATAATCAATCGCATACGGTCCATACTGTAGTTTAACATCAAAACGCTAGTTTTAATATTCGCCTAGAGCTTATAGTATTTTACCTTAGTTGCTGAACCAATATCAACTTCTTTCAACATAGCATCTTGAGTGATCATCTCATTTTCATCTTCCTTCTCAAGATAGCTAAGTGCCATAAAGAAGAGAAACGCAACGTACCCAGGCAATACATTGTGTAGGGCTGCTACTTGAGTGACACTTTGTTTAGCATATTTAACCTTTCGGTTGAAGGCCTCTGCCTTCTTCCTGAAGAACCTCTCGGGAAGTTTTTTCTACGAATAACCTATGGAAAAACTAGACCTGTAACATACTGTGTCCATATGAAAAGCAGTTGATAAAAAGATGACCTAGATCTATCAAAAAGTTTGCATGCCGTCCTTGAGATTTGAAAGAACCCCGAACTGCCTTCCAGTATCCAATATCTTGGAGACGAAGTTGTGCATACCGACTGGTGTCTTTGAACTCACTTCTTGTTGTTTTTATACGCTCCCAAGTTTTTAATAACTTTTAATAGGCGGTAGTCTGGTTACTCAATTGCACTAATCCTAGTCAGTTTATTAGTTATTTGTGGGTTTACAGATCTTGTAATTTGAGTGAATGCGTTTGTCTCGGAACAGTAGGGTTTCTAGATAACAGCACCTTTCACGTTATCAGGCAGGGGGTTGTTTGGTTGTAATGTGAAAAATAATGACTCGGAAATTCGAATGCTAGGAACTAACCAGGTCTTCAAGAAACAAGCAGTAAACGTGTTAATTAATTAGTAATGAAGATAGTGTGCGAAGACTAGAGTATTACAGTGTAGGTCATCAATTTTGATGATCTATGTCGAATGATCAGAGGGCTTACTGAACTTAGACGGGAACGGTGTGACGAACCAGGTGACTTCGAAATCACACCTCTTAGTCAGCATCTAACGTGGGTTGCCCCTTCGACCTATTAAAGTACGATGGCCGCTTTAAAGATCGTATCATACAAAGAAAGTTATTACGGAAGTATATTATTAAGAATGAGCACACAGAAGGTGGTAGGACCACCACTGCATGGGCCAGTCCATGGCATATGATTAACTGATGCTCATTGGTTGCCCTTGACCTTGACAGGGATTGATGGTCTGTTCGATATTCAGTTACCTAACAGCCGGATGACTTGGCTAGGGCTTAATGACATTCCACTAGCCCTACAAAACTAAAAAGGGAAGCAGAGTTAGCATTAAGCAATGACGGAATATGTTTATAAGATGTGATAATGATAACAGTAAATAGTTTAGGTGATAGCAGAAGGCTCATTTAATCAAAGCGCGAGATGTTAAAACACGGGTGAATATGAGGTTCTAAAGTCTCCTCCTGAAGCCATCCTCTGAGTGCGTTGTGGTCACTTCGGCTAGAAGAACATTCCGAACAGAGATAACTTTCATTGGGAGCTTACCTAGCTTTTGTTGTTTGCTATGACATTCTTTGATGGCGCTGATGTTCAAGTTGATTGCTCGTGTTGGGTTGACTAGGTGTCAAACAGTCATGCACAGCAATCAACACTGTTATAAAACGACAATAAGAACATGGTAAATCCTTAGGTGTCTTAGAACAGTTTTAGGTATTTGTAAGGTACAGAGAAGGTTATCTAGACATTCTACTGCACATGCCCCAGTGGGTTAGATAATGATGTACTGTTTTGAACATCATGAAATTTAATGTCTGGACTAATTTCCAATTTATTGATTTGAATGTCTATTTGCCCATTCGCATATAGTGTAGGTGCAAATATCTAGACTTCAAAAAGATAACAGCTATGGAGAAAGCAAGTACTTGTAGTATGGCGTCGAGTCGCGGTTGACTATGATCACCACTACCGGAAGACCACGTGCCAGTTAACCGATAAGATCCCCCGTAAGCCAAATATCGGAAGGCAGTTGATGGTTGTAGTCGAGATGTATTTGCTGGCGATCTCCTGGTATCGAAAGAATACCGAAATCGTGATGGGTTACAGGTGTGGTTACTGGGCGTAACCGAATTCGTGCAAGGTCACGATCAACGGAAGAATGTATGTGTTTTTGATACAGTTAAACAAACAAGTACGGTAAAACAATCGCTGATACAATTGTTTATAACAATATTGTTTCCACAACACTAATTACGTTCTCCTGATAAAAGTAGGTCACTACATACTGTTGAACCAATGTGATAATTAGGAGTATTTGAATTACTATACGAACTAGGAATCCCTGAAATAATGCAATTCAACTCACACAACTAGAGGAGCACAAACGAACGTATTGTATTCGTAATTCGAAATCAGGCAGTCATTAAATACAAATGAATCATTAGTTTATAAGAACAGTGCAACCGCCACAGCTTAAATTGGAATCTAAGTTTTTGTAATTAATTGAACGTCTTCTCCTTAGGTTCATCGTATGTCTGTCAGACTGTGTATAAGATGTAGACTCTGTATGATCTGGAATACGCCCATTAGTATTAGAATTAACAATTGAAATCGGAACGGACTCACCGGAATCCTGAAGTTGCATATGATCAGTATGTCGATTATGTACTAGAATTTGAACCATAGATTTTCTCACACTATTCTCCTCCATGAAATAATGTTTTATCTTCACACGCCCAAGTTATAAGTAATATGACGTCATTCAAAACATATTTCTCACATTAACTAGGGGATTCATTAGAAGTGACATCGCTATAAGAATAAACAACAGTTGATTATTATGATTATCATAACTATTAACGGCTTTATTCAGTATTATATTTTGGTTCAATATCGAATTCTCAGAACAGGGTATTTCTACAAATTACAGTAACGAAGACAAAATAAAGGTTTTTAAAAAAGTGACGTCATTCAAAACATATTTCTCACATTAACTAGGTGATTCATTAGAAGTGATATCGTTATAAGAATAAACAACAGCTGATATGAAGTCATCCAAACCATATTCAAGATCAAGCTGATTTAGGACTCGTACGTCGTATTGAACGAGTTTTCCAGATGTTGTGGATGACATTTTAGAGCTAAACAGTCGATTACGTCATTGAAAACGTAAAATACACAAACCAAGATCGACACCAGTTTACGTTTACAAACGTACTGAAGATGGCACAAGTATTCAGTGTTTGACAACGTCTTTACCAGTAAAACCTTCTTATATAACTCGTACCCACCAAGGGAAATCAAAAGACAGTATCGAGGAGATCAGAAGTTGTATTTGGCGATTGCCAATATATCGGAATTGTCTGATCTAGTCTGGTTAGCGATTGCAGTAGATGTTGAGCACGGAGTTCCCACACGTTATCCGGTGCGGATGCATAGTCGAGCGCCTTCAGCTTGGTGAGTCCACTAAAACTAATCTGGTCAGCATCCAGTGTCAAAAACTTATTTGTTTTGGGGATTTATTTACCGCTACAGCTCACTCCCCCCCTAGTGGGGTAGTGATGACCCTAAGACATGGCCAACCAGAAGTTAAAACCCAACGAGTTTGTCGTTGGTAAGCACTCTTCTGATAGCTTGTTAGGTTTAGCAGCGTCTGGTCGTCTTTCCCTACTATATAGGACCATGAAGTACAGTATAGTAAAAAAAGAAAAGGTAAATGAAGTTTTCGGCTCCTTGTGAACGTCATCGTTCTTTTCCAGCCGTCCTGGAAAAGAAGGAAGAAAATGTAAGTGCATGTCGAAATACACTCGCACGCGCGTAAAAACACAATGTCGGCGAGAAAAATGGAAAATAAACTCATATACACGTAATATCGTTAAAAAAGGATTTTTATGCTTTTTTGTTTGTTTTTTTAAAAATAAAAATACATAAGCATATTAAAATTGTTTTTTGAATAAAATATTACATATGGTAAAATATCGAGATAATATAAAATGTCAAATAGTGCCTTACGTGCAACAATCTTTTAAATGTTCTGGAAATCTTACTCTTCCAGAACGCGTCGCCCTAAGTTTATTTTCTGATACTATTGAAGTATTATCGGGTGTGTTGCCTGTCGGTTGAGGTATTATAGACGTAGGAGTCGTGTTGTGCGATTGTACCGAAGGGAAATCGACGTGAATAGGATTTCCTTCTAAATACGCTGCTTTTAAGCGATCGATGCTGATGTTATCTTTTGTTCCGTTCTTATCGACTATATAGTGCTTAGATTCACGTTGAAGAACTTTGGAAGGTCCTTCGTATGCTGATTCGAATGGTCGTCGATGTGAGTCTCGACGAACAAAAACGTGTGTACTATATCGTAAGTCAGGTTGAACGAAAAAATCGGTTGATTGTGGTCGAGTGGAAGCAGGTTTAACTGAACGCATTGCGTTTGTAAGCCTGTTCGTGTAGGAGGTTAGATCCATGTTCATTGAAGAGGATGTAGGATCCACAAATTCTCCTGGAAGTCGAAGTGTTGTTCCACAAACGAGTTGGGCTGCAGTATATTCAATGTCAGCTTTCACGACATTGCGAATACCTAGTAAGACGAGTGGAAGAGCGTCGGTCCACTGTGAAACGTTTGCAGCTGATAGTGAAGCTTTTAGTTGTCAGTAAAAGCGTTCTACCAACCCGTTTGCTTGTGGATGGTAGGCGGTCGTTCGGAAGCGAGAGATATTAATTTATCGCTACAGTACCTACACCGTCGACACACCTCTTTTTATTGTTCGATCGATCCTGACGATAAAGTTTGAAACCACGTAGTGATACTAGGCAGTTGTCCTGTAAATCATTTAACCAAGTGTAAGATCCAAACTAAAGTTTGGACTGAAGAATAGCTGTTTAGGTGGGTTAGATACGCGCCCTTGCCCGGTTGAAGACAAAACAAAGTGATTGGGTAAAGTGACGGTTCTATAATGCATCATGAATTTAAATGTACATCGTTGCCCAAACAAATATGACCACCCAGCTATCCAACCAATAATAGTTCAATTAATTAAATCTAAATTACAATAAATAAGGAATTTGATGATGATGTATGCAAGAAAATTGCCAATCACAACAAATAAATGTTGCTCTATCCTGTCTGGATAGACCACGCACAGATTCGTTCAAAAGATAATATTTGGTTGCTTTATAACACAGAGTGTTTCCAATTCTGGAAGAGTGCTTCAATACACAATCAAAAATGCACAATTCCAGTCAATACAAGCAACGCAATCAAAAGGAGGAACAAACCAATATGGCTGCCGCCAAGACTAAGTACCAAGTAAAACAACATAAATGCAGTTCAGGAAGAGATGCGGAAACTTAGTGAAGGCGTAAGAAAAATAAAAGCTATAATAAAATACAAACATTAACAACTCAAATGGAATCGAAAAGACTAACAATGTACAACTAAAGGAATCAGTAGGAACAAAGTGCAAATGTATATATGGAGGGATTTTCACACACAAAAGATTCAAAATCGGTCTTGTGATGACTCTACATTTACGATACATATTTTGACTTAGTAGGAATTGCAGATAGTCCAATTTGTTGATTAGTGATCGGCAGT